TTTTGTAAAGTGATTTTCGTTTGGCACGGAACTTTTTGCTAGCACTGTGCATGGGTCTTCGCGTAACATTATCGCTACATAACTCACACTCTGGTGCTGTTCGAAGTGATATTGTTGTTGTGGTTGTGCTGGTTGATGCGACGCTCTCGATCGGATCTTAGACGCATACGTTGGCTGCTGCAATGTTTGACGTTGATCAGCGCCATCTCGCAGCGCGTTGATGAGCGAGTCGAGTGGAGCGCGACACAGCGGACACTCGTTGTTCAAAGACACTTGTATTCTCTTAGTGAGACAGTCAAAGTGAAACTGATGATTGCATGCAGTGATGACCAGTGCAGAGTCCACACTCATGGGGGCCAGACAGATGGAACAGTCATCGGCTGTTTTACTGCTTCTCTTCGATGCTTGCATGATTATTCTTCAAAGAAAGAGTGTGCATGGGTCTTTAATTCAAGAAAGATGAATGGAAAATTGATGGAGCGATGAAAGAGACGTGTTATTGCACCCCGATCGCAATCGATATTTTCTGTTCTCTATTTTTCTCTTTCTCCTCCTTGTAGAAGCTGTCTCATATGCAGTATTTGCACACGTTCGTATTCTCTATTTTCATGTATGTACCATTCTCTTATCAACTGATTTGTCCCTTTCTTTACATGTGCCCCCGGTAAGAATATTTGCAAATATCAACAACAAACTTGATCAAATATACTTTCTATTTGATATAGTCGAATTTTGATACAGACTTTTTCTGTACTATTGAAAGATTGTCCAATTGTTTTCTGGCCTTTCGCGTCTGTAAAAACGTGAAACGTTAAATTATATGATTTTCACCGCTGTAAAATAAATGATTTGATAGCATTGAAGGCCATTGCATTGTATTTCCCATTTGCACTAACCAGAACCAAATGAATATTATGCTGTAAATAATACGACATCCACGCTTGTGAATGACTCAGAACACTAATTATGTGTTTACCAGTCCGGTATTGAATTAATATAGGGTGTGGGCTGGGTGTGGATGAAGAGAAGGCCGACATCCTCACCCACATCCTGATTCCGATTAGACCAATTAGTCCAAATCCATGGAGAAAATTATCCACTAGCAGCTGAACCGACGCACATCTCTATTAGCATAGTAACAACTGTCTATCCATATTCAACAACTCTTATTACCGTGAACGTTTCTTATTGTTCGACGCGAATTGCTTTTTATGTGAATCATCATTGGAATCCTTTTCAAAAATTTTTAGAAAAATCTCCCGCCCCATTCGTTGTTTCTTTTTTTCTTCGTTTTATCGTTTAGAAATCATTTAAAAATCTTTTCAGTTCTATTTTCCAATCATACATATTCTTGTGCTTATTGTATGCAAAAGCCTGATGAGTGTTTAATTTTTCAATAAAATAACACGAAGCGCGTCGGCAAATCAAACTCTGCATTATTCTTTGATTTCAAGCACATTAAATAACACTCGATTGAATTCGACTGAAACATCGATTGCTAAAAAGCAAGAGTTGAGAACAACAGATTGATTTTGTCTTTTGTTCAGAAGATAGGTTGATCTGTTTATCGATTGCCTCACCCTCACACTCTGCATCGTTATGTGATATGGTTTTTTTTTAAACTAACAACAAAAGCATTAATCTCAATTTAATTGTACTATTTTTCTTTTTTAATAAAAGAAACAAACAATGAGAAAATTGAGTCTTGAATGGCAATAACAATAGGAACTCATACAACTGTCTAAATAGCAAAAGCTACGGTGAAAGTGGCCCTTGTTCACAAATAATAATTTTCGTCAAAGTGTTTATCTCATATGTCTCTTTGATAAAAACACTAATGCTGCAGCTTTTCACTTTTAATAGTCTGTTGATAAAGTATTTCGTGATTAACTGAATAATATTATCTATGAATTGGAAGAAATTCCGCACATATACTGAAAGAGTACAAGCCAGCCTGAGAAGGAAAAGATATTCGGATATTAGTGAACTGCAGAGTCAAATTTTTTTTGACATCAAAACACGATTTCAATTCCGATGAACTCCGAAGATTTTTTTGCATAGTTTATAGACATCTTAATCACTGTACCACTTAAGATTATGAAAGAATAAACAAGTAAACGAATCAGTAAAGCAAACAGCTTTGATTAATGTAGAATTTACTTTTTCTCTGATGATTTTTCAAAAATGACTGAGAAAGTTTTTGAGACAAAAAAGTTGAAAAACTAATAGCAGATGATGATAAAACATTCAAAGTTTGTGGAGAAGAAAAAACATCAGATTCAAGTGAATGAACGTGAATATCTCTCTGATATTATTATCTTTTCTTGAAACCTATTTATCGAACTAAAAGTAAGGTATTTTTATTGGTTATTTAGCATAAGAAATAAATTTGGTGCTATATAAAGGTAAAAAATACTTGACTATTATATTAGTGCAACTCCGACATTGACTCTGAAAAATTTTCATTTCACAACTCCGACTCTGATCCTGACTACCTCGAAGTCGGTGTGCGATGCAGTTGACTATCGGATATTCTGCTTCCATCTCTTCTGTTTATATTTTATTGGTTACTTATGTCAACAAACCAATCGATTCAATTTAAAGATGGTGGTTCTATAATAACGGAAAATCAACTTACTATTCTTGTTATAGAGAAAACACGAGACTTTAATGAAACTAATTATATTCTTTAATTTTTCGGTAATAAAACATGCTTGCATTCAAAAGCATTTTGCATTGTCCAAAATTTGAGTGACTGAAAAAACCTTGTGTATGTAGCTCTTGAAGCCATTACCGGACGACATGAATGAAATAGAAATATTTTTATATCGACGTCTGTTTGACTTACTCAATAATTGTGAGTCTGCATGCTGTTTCTGCGAACATAGAAAAGTAATAATAAAGTTAAGTTGATCATCATTAGAATAATAATAGAAGTTTGACTATAAATGAAAAATGATGTTGAGTTTTCATTTAGATGGATTTCTATCTGATATTTTCAACCATGATCATATTTTGTACTTTAAGCTTGTAGAATTTTTGAAAAACTTGATGTATGAAAAAAATCATTATAAGAGATGTTATCTCATGTGTTAAGACATTGAGAATCATCGTCTTATTAGATCCGATGGATATTGGAAGAAATATTATGTTAATAATTAATGTCACTATGTGTAAAAAAAAAATATATTTATTTTTAACATCTAATTTACTTTTGTATTTTATAGTATGAAATCATCTTATTATTTGGATCTTTTGCGAGGACAATGTCAAGAATTACCTGATGTTCGATCGAAAGTTGTACGAGTTTTTGTTAGTTCGACATTTACAGGTTAAAAATTTCTTGAAAAAAAATTCTTTTACAGCAAACAAAAAAAACATTTTGTTTTTAGATACATTAATAGAACGAGATTCTTTAATTGAAAATATCTTTCCTAGACTTAAAAATTATTGTCGTGAAAAATATGGATTAGAATTTCGGGTTAATTAGTATTATTTTACTTGTAATAAAATTCTTTGTTTTATTTTTAAATAAAGTATGTCGATATGCGATGGGGTATTCAAATTGAATCAGCAAATAATCATGAAGAAGTTGCAACATGTTTAAAAGAAATTGAATTATGCAAAAAATATTCTGTTGCTACGAATTTTGTGGTTTGTTTACTTTTTAACAATAAAATATCTATTTATCTATTAATATTAGGTTTTACTTAGTCATCGTTATGGTTCTCGACCGATTCCAGCTCAAATTCGTGCATCACTTTTTGAATTATTAAAAGAAACTGTTTGTAATGAACAAAATGAAAATAATGAAGGAAAATTATTGACTCAATGGTATCAACTTGATACGAATTCTATACCACCTACATATATTTTAAAAAATATTTCATCTATTATACCGAATTTTTTATCAAAAGTAAATAAAAAAAAATTTTTTATAAAAAGATTATTGATATTTTTATATTTTTTTTTAGAATACAGATGAAATAAAACAAGCAGATAAAGAATGGAAAAAAATCAATAATTGTCTAAGACAATGTCTCCGACAAGCAGCAGAAACATGTCTTCAACAAGGACAAATTACTGAAATTGATTATGATGAGTTTTTTATATCAAGTAAAGATTTTCATCTGTTTATTTATTTAATATATATAAATTGATTTTTAGTTACGGAAAAAGAGATTATCAATGGAATTTTATCAGCAGAAGATGCTAATGAACGTACTTTGTTTTTTACGTGAAATTGTTGATATTCATGATCATTTATCTGATGAAAAAGCATCAAAATTTATAGATATGTCATCAGAAACAGATATTGATATAGAAGCTAAAAAATTACTTGATCGATTAAAAAATATTCGTATTCCATCTATTTTAAAATCTCAAAATATATTTAAATATAAAGTTCATTGGTCATCAAATGGTATTAATGGACAAGATCATTCGAAATATATAGAACAATTTAATAATGATTTTTATACATCAATTAAAGAACAAATTGATCGTTGTGTTCAATCACGTTATACAATTGGTTCGGATAGTTTACAACATGAAATATTAGAACATGCTATACAATGTAAAACACATATTGGAAAATTTCATGGAAGAATTGATGTTTTATCTAAAGTATAATAAAAAAAAAAGATTTCATTTAAAATATAATATTTCATATTTATTTATTTTTTAGTTAGAAAAATATATAAAGAATAATAGAGAACATCAACCATGTGTTATATATGGTGATTCTGGATGTGGAAAAACAAGTGTATTAGCAAAGACTGCAATAGAGGTTAATGAATTTTTATTTTCATAAGATTTTTAAATAATTGAAATTTTAATTTCAAGGTATTTAAATGGTGGTCAGATCGATCTGTTTCAGTTATTTTACGTTTTCTTGGGTGAGTTAAATATAAACAGAAGAGAGAGAGAGAGAGAGAGTGGGGTGTGGGTGTGGGTGTGGCTGTGTGGGTGGGTGTGGGTGTGGTTGTGGGTGTGGGTGTGGGTGGGT